TTTAAGGTAAAAAGATATTAACCAGTGTTATTTTTAACAAAATTGTCTTCCCTAAATCAATTCCAGTAAGGAGAGATGATACAAACAAACTTTTGTCAAAAAATTTGAAAATAACAACTTGGGTCATGTTTAAATGAATAAAATAAATAAATTTCACCGCGTAGTTTTTAATTTCTTATTCAAATTTGCACAAAAATGGAATTTAAAGTGAAAAATATTTGTATAGATTAATAAGGATTGTTTCAGAAGGGCAGACTTTTTAACATCACAGAAGGTTTACAATTTCTTTATATTCTTCAAATTTATTATTTGCATCATTTGCAATGAATTTAAGCCAAAATATATATATCAATCCAAGCATCCATTTTTTGTTTGTATCATCTGTCCTTAATTAAATAAATACCCGTCCTTTAAGAAATTTATTTATAAAATATAGTTATGTACATGTATGGCAGATCAAATCTAATTTAAAAGTTAATTCACACTGAACTTTAACCGAACGCGTATGGTTCAATCATTAAGTTTTATGTTTATAGTTCACAATCTCTATAAAAAATTATATACATGAAATATGAAAATAACATATTGTAAACATGCTCAAAAGTTCATTGAAAAAATACAGATTGGGAGCTAGGCAAATACATATTCGAACTCCTTAAAACATATAGGTGGGATCAAGTGCCATAAGAGAGTGAGATACCCCAGTCGAAAAAATATGCACATGAATACTGTTTATTTATACATTAATACTGAAAAAAATGTCAGAAAACGCTGATTTTCACCTTTTCCTTGATTACAAGTTGAATATTTTGAATACTTTTTTGGGGGTCATTTGCGTTTCTGTGAAAAATATTTCACTGAAGAAACCATACTATTCAATTTAATTAGTATCTAGTGTTACAAAAATCATTGAAAAGTGACATTTTAATACCGGTAATTCAAGCACTTCTGGGCGTCTTTTAAAGATCATTCCTACATTGATTTTATTTTCTAAAAAGCATATAAGATAAACCATTTTTCTTTTTTTTTTTGTAGGAGAACTTGATGACGTCAGTTTTTCATCGTCAACTTACCTTACGTATGTAGTAATACTAGCATTTCTTTATCACCTGCATACGATATTTTTGTCTCCCGATTTATTTAGGGCATGCTCTAAGAACAATGAATTATTAAATCGAGACAAGCTATACTCAAGACATATGTTGATGTTACAGGTATTTCAACAACTTTGTTTTAAGTCAGCATTTTGTGAAGAATGACATCGTTAACAAATACAACTTATTATTGGGTCGTATTTTGTATAGTACCGATTATCAAGCCTTTGATTTATACTTCATTTGAGTACAGATTGCACTGACGACTTCGTCAGTATATACTGCACACGGCAGATGTGATCAGCCAACAAGGGATTCTCACTCCGTATAGGCACCTGATCCCATTCTGGGGTCCACCTAGCGCATCATGAAATATGCTTACGTGACAAGTCTGTGTGATTAACACACAAATAACTCACACAAAACTGAAAAACATTCCTTAAATATATTGATTTTGTATTGTTTGTTATATTACAATCACTTCGTTCATCCTAACCAATGCAACAAAAAAAGCAAAGATAAGCAAATGCAAATATATAATGTGTCAAAAACTTGTGGTACCGTATGGTAGCTCATGGCGCAGGCTAATGTTTCTCAAATACAAATCAAATTCAAAGGTTAAGGTCAAGAAATTAAAAAAAAATGGTACCCAAAGTAAATTCTTGTCCAGGGAATGCACTTGTGTAATATGAAAGTCCCAACACCAACCCTTCTAAAATTAGGACCAAGGTTAAAGTTTTCAAAAGTTTTTCAACCTAAAAGTTCAAAGAATGAAAATAGTTGGTATCCAAGGAAACTTAATGAAAGTCCCAGCACTAACTGTTCAAAAATTACTGCAAAGGTTAGTTTTTTTTTCAAACGTGGGTCAGGTTCCAAGTTCAAGGTTAAAGTGTCAAATATGATAAGAATCAAGTGATGGTTTTGTCACGGAAAATACATACATTTGTGAAATGAAAGCTCTGCTTTCAACCATTCAAAGCGTATGAACAAGGTTTATTCTAAAAGTAGGTCAAATTCCAAGATCAAGGTCAAAAAGTCAAATCGTAACTGTGAATACCTTAGAACCAAACGTTCAATAGTTGGTAATTTTTTGTAAAAGTGTGTTTCTAACTCTTACATCTAGAGAACAAATACCTTGGTACCCAATGGAAAGCCTTGTCACCAAAGAATATGTCTGAAATATGAAAGTCAAAGCTTCAACCAAGCAAACGGTATGGGAAAGGTTCAAGTTTTTTTTTCTTCTGATAAACAGACAGGCAGGAGGACGGAAAGAGGAAAAACTATGTACCCCGGAATCTTAGATTATGCTTTCGTAAAGATTGTCACATCAACCAGTTACTGTTAGAGAAACTTTCATTGCGTACAAAACAGAACCATGAATGACTATCAGAGGATTTCATTAATGAAAATTCCAGACGTTTTATGCATTTAATCGGATATTCGGGGTACACAGTTTTTGCCATATCTGTCGGTCTGACTAGCTGTTTGTCTATTGGTTAAAAACCTTAACATTGTCATTAACTTTTGATTTGGTACAGTTGTGGCTTTCATTTTTCACATGTGCATTACATTTGACAAGACCATTCTTTGAGTACCAACATATTTGACCTCTTGATCTTGAAATGGAAGTTTGTCCCACTTATGCAAAAAATTATTGAACTTTAACCTTGGTCATAACTTTTGAACAGTTGGTGCTAGGGCTTAAATATTTCACAAGTATGTTTCGAATGACAGGCCTATCTGGGTACCACTAATTCCGTCCCTAGATTTTGAACCATATTTGAACATCTTTAATTTTTGCCATAACTTTTGAATGGTTGATGCTTCGGTCTTCATAATTCACAGGTATATTCATTGAGGCAAGCCCTTTCTTTCGGTGACATTTGGCCTTTACTTTTGAGTTTGACTTGCATTTGAGAAACTTTAACTTTCGCCATCAGCTGCCATACGGGGGCATCAAATGCATGTACATCTTAACATTTTATTATAGTTGCACTTTACTCAAAAAAAGAATAAATAAATGCTTTTAAATCATGTACATCTTTAAGTTTCATAATTTAACAGTACTTACAAAAATTCATCCATAAAATATATAAATATTCATACATGTATAAATAAATAGATAGATAAATAGAAAAAAAAATTAATAAATAAATCAATAATTAAATAACAAAAAATCCAAATTATATGTGAAAGTATTTTTTAAACCATGCATTATTTTTCAAATTATTTATATCAAACATTGTAAGATTCAGGGAAAATATCTGCTTTTGCTTATTATGTTCACATTAAAGTGATAAAAGTTTTAACATATATCCATCTAACCTGCAACATTTCGTTTGATCTATTCTAGATGCCTGTATTGTATGCATGTAATTTTCAAATAAAATATTGTCTAAGGAAAGATGATAAAAAAAACTTTGGAATGAAATGAATAACTTCGACCGCTTGTATTTTCATATATTTTATTCAAAATTTCACAGCAATATAATTTTACGTAACTATAGAAGTTGTATAGATAAACAGGTATAGCTGCAGAAAGATTTTGGACATCATAATTATGAATTTTAATTTCTTAACATTTTGAAAATTTATTAATTGCGTCATTTTGAAGAAACGTAGGTCTAAAAATATAAACCAATCCAATCATCATTTTCTTCTTTAATTCTTTTGTTTATATCATCTGTCAGGGCATTGGATTCATAATTCTGCATTAGTAGCCAAATTTAAGACGAAAAGGAATACAAAAAGAGTTGAGGAAACTATCACTTTAAAATTATTAAAATCATTGAATTATTTCTCTAAAGATCAAATCGTTAGTTAAGAACTTGTAAACACTTTGTAGAAATAGCTCACTAATAAAGTAAAGAGTAAATAAATAGTTTTGTATAATGTTTCATAGGGGCTCGTCTTCTACTATCTTTCCTGTCGTTGTACCAAGAAGTGCAAGGCACGTATGGTGCATTAGTTGTATTTCCTAATTACCAATTATTAGTGTGCTTCATTAATTATGGTGTGTACGTGGAATATAGAAAGGAGACAGATTTTTATCTCTCGAGATTTAGCGGACACTGTCGAATTTCTGAGGATTTGACAATCCTCCATTGTTTGGCGAGTCAGTCTGGTTAGTTTGGGACTCTGGTTTTTTTTTTTCATTCCTTGTGGCATAAACAAAATTACAGTCGTAAATGCATAACCACATCTCGAGTCGGAGATATAATCTAAACGAAATATCATGAAGAAAGGAAATTTAAATATTAGAATTTATGAAGATATAAACATGTAGGTTTAAAAAAAAATAATTAAAATGAAAATAAACTATACATGTATTATAAACAAACTGGTCATTATATAGGAATTACAAAAAAGAGCATAATAACAAATAAATAAATAAATAAAATGAAAATAAATAAAGAAATAACAAACAAACAAACAAAAATAACCGTATTCAAAGTCCAAAAATTAAATGAATAAATTTAAAATGAATAAAAAAAAGATAGAAAATAGGAGGAGAAAGACTTCAGAGATTTTAAACTGATAAAAAATACTTTGATTAAGAGGAAATAAAAATGATAATTTATTTTCTAAGTTTTGCACATGTTTCCTATAAATCCTCTGGTATATTATAAAGAATCAGTGAAATTTGCAATATATGATAACTTTATTACTTATTATACCCCATCAGCATACTGTGAGAACGATAAACAAACCAGTTGCTGTCTTCCAAATAAAATGACTTATCAATTTGAAAAAAAAATAAATTCCATTCCAAGTGAGGATTCTTTTAACATTTAATCCACGTGTACATCTCCAAATAATCAATGAATGGGATATCATTCTGAAGTTGTTTGACAACTTTTAAATCCCTCCCCTCCAACTTTTTTTTTTTAATCGACACACTAGAGCATGCGCGGACGGGTTAAACTTACACTACCGGCTCGGCAACTTCAATCAGTCAGTGAAAGCGATGGAAAGGTGTAAACATGGACCTGGCGGTTCTAATTTCCAGTGCAGTGTCCTTCGTCCTCTACCTGAATTCCTTGGATGCTGATTTTGCTTATGACGACAGGTATGATCTATTGCTTTGCAGGTGCGCGTTTTTGCGCGAAATTCAGTAGTTGCAGTGTTTATTTACAATCTCGTGCACATGTGTATTTGAGTCTATAAATAGATTTCGTACTTGCAAATAGAACTTTTGAGCCATTTCTTTTTGTTTGTAAGGAGAAAAGAATTTTTTAAGTGTCATCTTTCATTTTATGTGAATTGTGTATTCCTTGTTCTTTGTGAAGCGAGTGACAATAAATTGACAGTGGCGATATTTACACCTTCTGACTATCGGCCGATTTCGTCTTTGATAAGGGTGAAAATTTAGAGATAAAATGATGACAAGCTATCATAGTTTAAATGAAAAATAAATAACAATAGAACTCTTATCATGCAAACTTAGCATATACCTATATTCGCTTAATTTTAGCCTACCCGAACAATTGAATAATAAAAAAGTGTCCACTTTTTAAATCACTCGCCGTCATAACTAAAATCGGCACATTGAGTAAATACTAGCTTGTCTATTGAAATACTAAAGAATGTTTAAAGTGTCGTAAAGTACTTGTGAAAATAAGAGCATTGTAACTGAAAAATACCAACAGGGGGAACTTGTGTTATTGCTGACATAATGTTACCACAGAGAGAGGATTCTCCATTGATAATCAGGAGTTGTGTCAAAATTTAAGGTTGAAGTTCATTAGAGGAAAAAGTAGGAATTATAATTATTTATATAAAAAAAGGTCAATCTGAAAGTTCTGAAAAATATAACTTTTTATTATAAATTTAATTTTTGAGTAGATTCAAAGTGATGTCAAAAAAAAAATGTTAAAATTGCATCTTATTAAGAGGGGTGCATAAAGTTTAAAGTATGTGGTAGGTAGTTAAGAAATATCTTCAGGTTTAAACTTTGGAAAAGACCACACAAATGTCTCACAGAATTGATTCTCAATTTTTTTTTCTATGTCTAACACTCATGAAAATCCGAACCTCAAACATACAGGATGAATTTAATTGGTGCAGAGCTGGTCCGAGAGGTTCGCGTGGTATCAGGTTTTCAGGAATATTTAAACAAGAGGCTTCAAGATTTACAGTTTTGGGCCCATATTTACTCTCTCAATGATGGACGAAGTCTGATGTTTAATAAGTAAATATTCCTCTTAGGGGAGTAAACCCTGCCTGAATTCTGATCAATGCAAAACAGAAAAAAAGGTAAACATGAGTCCCATCACGGAGTTCAGGTCACATAAAGGCCAGATCAAGATTCATTGTCCGAACATTTACTCAGTCTCAGAAGACCCTTTAAGGATACGGGAGTTTTATTTTCGAAGTTCCTGAGTGTTTTATTCTATTTGCGATAGTGTATGATTTTATGAATGTTTTGAATTGAAAAAGATGCACCAGGCAATCTTTTTTATCAAAGAAATATTTACACAAGTTATATTTAACCAAGAAATTTATTTAATTAAACATAAATGATAGCAAATAATTAGGCTTCATAATAATAGTAAAAATATTTGAAGAAGTATATTAATTGTATAATTGTTGAAACTAGTTTATGAAAAGTCAATATTTGAATTCTGTAAATCCTCAAAATCCCACCCATAGTGTGTGGTCAAAATAAGCTTTGAAAAAATATAAAATATTCGTGAAAAAAATTTCTCATCAGTAATTGAAAACAAAACTCTTCTATAAATTTGTTTTTTTTAAGTTGATCTGAAATCATTGCAGAAACAACGTAAGATATTAAAATATTTATTATAATGCAACGTATTTATTTGGTTCAATAGGATCTAGGGTACCTGTCAATTAAAATCTTAAGAATTTAAATTTCAAAAAAATGACCTAGCAGTGATTTATCTGTAAAGTTTGCCCTTGCATGTATTTCATTTATTGTGTGGAACTCTTTTTCACTCGACAAATTATGGTGCACTGTAATCATAAAGACCCGAGCACTAATGATTACAAATATAATGTTAGGTTAAACTTCTTTTGAATTCGAGTCCAAGGCTTTCTAATATTACACAAATTTTGTTAAAATTTTCAAAATGGCTGCAGTATAATTAAGGCCTGGTTAATGGTAAAATCAAAAAAAATATTTAGACTTTCTACCGGTACTTTAGTTAACTGTACGCTTAAAACAACTTTATTAATAGAAAAAAAATCCTCTGTAATGGCTGATATTTATGTTCTGTGAGGACTAGTATTAATTAAGCCAGGTAGTTAAGGAAATGCTTTTTTTCGGCTGTGCAGATTTAAGGTGGTGTCTGGTACCACTTGTAGACCACCACCAATTAAACCCTGATAGCTATGGATTCAGAGATTCAGACCGTAACTTGTCTCCTGTGATAAATGTTGGATATTCGCGTTCATGCATCACAATATGACAGGGTTTCCCAATAGTAAACGGCTTCATATGATGGTGACAGTCATGGCTTTAAGCTCTCAACAAACTGTGATAAATGTGTGGCAAAATTCTGCATAAATGGAAATTTGACCATGTTTGGCAAATTATTGTAATTAAAATTTAATTAACTCGAAACACTCTTAACCTTCCATTTTGAGTATACCTGCTTTTCATGGTGGTTTTATTCAGCGCATTGCTCATTGTTATTCACAACTTTACGATTTTTACTGTCTTAAAAGCGTTTGTGACAAGGATGAGTTATTTTTTCCAGTTTATGAAAATACACGACTTGAACTTCAACTTTACATAATGAAGACAGAATCGCATTATTAAATATACTGAATATTCGCTGCTCGGGGACCCATGGTTTTTTTTCTAAATGAACATTATTACTTTAAAAGCACTTAAAAATATTATAGACAAGTGTGATAACATCAGTTATTTTCAAGCGAAAATGTTTGTTATTGAATTATATATGGAGATATACTCCCAGGACTGCTATATTCACTAAAGTTAAAATCAGTTTTATGGACAAAAAAAAAAAAAAAAAAAAAATACTGATAACTGCAGTGCAGGTTAAAAAATGACTGGAGGCTTGTTTTATTCAAATAAATTTTATTTTACAAGTAAAAAATAATGTCCATTATGGGGAAGTTTTGTTTGCTGAATTTAAAGTAGTGAATAGGTTTTATAGAATAATATTTTACTTCTTTTATTGATGGCAATTTTTAATAGTTTTAAAAATATTTGAAAGATAATTTAAACATGCAATAACAATAAAATGATGCATTTTAGTTTTTGCAGAAAGGATGTTTTAGTTCATAAGTAATTACACTGAAGTGAAAGGGTCACTTAATTTTTAGTGATTTAGAAGTCTACTAATACACTGTATACCTCACTCATCTTTATAGTAGAGTTAAGAGTTTAGACACCCCTCCCCTCCGCCACCCCTCCCTTATCCCTCCCATCTCTCCAATGTTGTAAGCAGGAGGGGAACAGATTATAAACCCTTTGCTGTTGTAAAGATATTTAACCTCAACTGAATTTTGCACCCTTGAAAAATATATTTTAAAAAAAAATGCATAATCCCTAAAAATTTTGATGATTATAACACTAGTTTCAACAATATAACAGATAGAAGAAAACTTAACCTTCATTCTAGCCGGAACTCAATAATTACCAATGGAATTTGAATTTTTTTTTTTTTTTTTTTTTTTAAGGTGATCAAGCTTTGATCTCAATCTTTAGATTTTTAATGGACAATATTTTTGGAATCGCTATAGACCATTCTGCCTCCAAATCTGGGAAATTTACTATGATTTAGAACATTTTTGGAATTTAATATACTAAGTATTTACTCAAATTACTGTTGGAGGAGAGTTGTTTCCCTAGACCTATTTCAGGTACATGGCCGTTATTCCAGAAATCAGGTCATTCTGCAGAAGTGCAACATGAGGCAAGATTATATGTCTTATTGAGATTTGCACAACAGGCCCTTATTGTGGAAACACCAGCAAATCAGGGATTTACTGAAAATCTCCCAGAATTAGATCTGGTAGCAAGTACCGTAATTTCTTGAGTATGGTTATATGGAGACTCAAATGTAATCTGACTTCTCCCTGATAAAGCATGTGCTGTTTCAAAGTTTAAAAAAAAAATTAAAGAAAGGAAAGTGCTTGTACTTCTTTGTCTTTCTTTCTTCTTTTTTTTAAAACAAAGCTCATTTTATTTCCATGCTTCACTGGCAAATTTTTAAAAAATATACATAAGATTTTATAAATCAATTTCTATTGGTGTGGCTATCAGCTCCTACCCTAACTCCAAACTACGCGCCGGGATTCCTGGATCCGCCACTGTGCTTGTTTATAGTAAGTACCTGGTAATGTAGGAAAATCACATAAAGAGTATTGCTTCTAACTATAATTTGACATTAGAATCTCTCTTCATTTTAGGGATGCTCTATTAACTCCTCAATGTTTTACCCATTTATCCCAAACTGCCACCAAGAAATAGATAAATATTTATGAAGTCTGATACAAAAAATAAGAAACAGTGGCTATAGGCTGTATGAAAGGTATGTCCTGTTACATAAAGAGGGAATCAGATAATGTACACAGAAACTGCAATCATCAATGCTAGAAATATCTCATTTCAAAGACCTGTATGCATATATAAAGAAGTGATCCATGTTATTAGGGGAGAAACTTAAGAGATTGGTAATTATTAAATGTTTACTTTGAAGTTTTCCTGCTGTGATGAGCTGAAGATTGAGCAGATTGGATCTTATCTGTTAGGGTACTTTTACCATTGTTAAAGTCTGATTGCTTTTCGAAAACAAATTTGTTGAAATTCAAGCAAGGTTATCCCATTATTGTTGTCTTAAGAAAATCATTGTCAATGGAGTAAGATCTGATTGTCCAATAGTAAACAAACTTTTAGAAGACTGAGATTGCAAGTGTCGGAGAATTGATTGCTAGACTCAGACACCTGAAAGCATAAGACCCCTCGTAATCACCTTGTCGTGAAATACCTCCGGTAATTATTTTTTGAGTAAAGATATACAATTTCTTCTCTGAAAGACAATTTTGGTAACCCTATGCAAGGAAAATTGTGGCGTT